GTTGTGAAAATATGATCCGGAAAATAGAATATTAATTCTACAACAGAGTGAGAATCACATTTAAGTGCAAATAAATAGGAAAATATTCTTTGTTGGGTGTAAAATTGGAGAATCTTTAGAGTGACAGACTAAAATCTCCAATTCGGTCTTAGTGCTTAAAAACTAAAGCGAGAGTTAGCTTTTAGGTGAAGGTGAGTGGGAAAGATCCAAATAAATCAAAAATAACAATCCCAGCCTAGCCACGGATTTAGGGATTAAACCTAGTATTAGCCAATGATTTTCTATGCACTATATCAGGGTAAAGAATTATAGTTGCTCCTATTTGACACAATACATATTATAAACATTTATCTCATCTCATTTTACCGGAACCTCATTGTAGTTGGAATGATACTTTTCACATAAAAATTTTTCATTACATAAACATAGTTAGTATGTTAGTATTTACTTTTTAAACTTTGCATTTCGGTTTTGCTAATAGTTAAGTACTTTAGTTTTGATAACATCATAACATTCGAAATTAGTGACAATGATTTTGTTTAATTTTCTGTAAATTTCCTGGTAAAACTTATCATTGCTAATTTACACATTTCCTGTGGGATCAATATTTGGGGCTTAAATAGAAAATCATTTATTACTTGATGACGATACGTATACTTGCGTAGAATCTCATTATTAATTGCCTATAATTATATATATTTTACACAAATTACTTTTCATACAAGGATCAAGTTTTTGGCGCTGTAGTGGTGTCAACTTCATAAATCCTTACATATAAAAAATCGGGATCAACCATCTACTTCGATACTTCAGTGTTCTCCACCCGGACACAGACACCCACTCTAACGCAATCTTCAAATCCGCTTCAGCATCCTCCAGCCAAGCCTCTACCACGATCGCTCAATCTTCAGCTTCTCTCGCTTGTACCTTAAACTCTTTGTCCTGCAACTCAGCTTTCAAGTCCCTGTATCTCACTTCTAGATACAGAGAGGACAAGTGTGTTGCAGCAAGCCTGAGCAGTTGATATCGGTTGACCATATGACATAGCTTCACAGGCTGGAGGTTATTTAAGAATTTTTGAATGTCATCTGACCAAAGGACATTTGCAATGGTTGAGACATACTCTTCAGTCTTCGGGGCTTGGGGAATCCAATCCCTCAAGACGTTTATTAATATAAAACTGAAGTCCGAGTGGAGAAAGACTTTGTCAAAATTGGGCAGGATTTAGCACCTGATTCACTGTCAGGGGGACAGTATAATGGATGAACGAAATTAGTTTACCCATGACAGTCGAAGCAAGCCCCTTGATCCACGACAAATCCCTTTTCTTCTTGTTGTAAGGTCCTTCGGTCAGCCTGGTGGGCGATTCCCTAGTTCTCGCATACACCCTGGAGGAATCGAAACTTTTATCTTACTTTTCAAATAGATCATGTGGAATTTTCAAGTCATGCCAAATACAATGTAGTTGTCCAACTCCACTATAAAGGAAAACATATGAGAGAGCAGCCCAGAACCACGAGATCTGCATTCACCACTGGTAAATGATGAAATTCGTTACTACTGTGATCAAGTTCGATTTTATCTGCACGGGGATGGCTCCATAGTGGTTCTGTATCGACTGAAGTTTCAGGCAGAATGGCAGTCAGAGTCAATATGAAAACTGATCTTAAAATAAGATCAGATCGTCTCCGGAGCAGTTGGTCGCCCTCACTCTGGCTCCATCGCCTCGAGTACTACACTTGTGTCGTACACACAAGTTTCTTTTAGGAGACTCACATCAAATGATATCAGTGGGGACCTTTCAGTTGCTGGCACCGAGCTGAACAACTGTAGAGAATATTTAGAGGGCATGGAAACACTAAAAGAAAACCGATCACAGGGAGAGACAAGAAAAGAGTGAAGGGAAGGAAAAGTGAAATATGACATTTTGTCTTGAGCCCTATATACAGGCTATCCAGGAAATTTGAAACACCTTGAATCCATACCTCAGTCTTTGAAAGTTCAAAATTAAATCGGCATAAAAATTGAGAAAATGAAATGATGTAAAATTTTGAAAATTAAGAAAAACTAAAATTTTATTTGACATAAAATGATTTACACAGAGGGCTTCGGCGTCCTCAGGCAATGCTAGACCCCAGAATCATAAGACTTTGGTACAATGTACCACTCCCAAATTTAAATTTTTTAACACCATCATTCGCCCAGACCCGGTAGATCGAACTGATCACCCAGACTTCTGCCAGTTTTGTCCGAAGTGTCGCCACCTCGCCTTGTCTGCATATAGGACCGCTAGCTCCTCCTTCAAGTCTGATATGGCTATATCTCTCTGATGGTCAGGCTCCAGAGAAAAGGAGTCCATTTTGTCCATGCGACGAGCTAACTACCTTGGCGAAACTCACCAACTGTCGATCTTCCTTTCTACATCCTTAGGGCCCGACAGGTGGCCAAGTGCACCTCCACCCTGGACCGAAACGGAAGGTCTCGCAGCCGCTTCTAGAGCGAAAGGTTGACCGACTTCCATTACTGAGGAGTCGATGATGTGCACAGTCTCCTCTGTAAGAATAATCAAATACAATAAATAACAAAATGAATAAATCAACCAAGTCTATGAAAAATGGATTTCTTTGTACCATTCATTCGCTCCATTTTAGATAAGTGGAGGCTCTTACTAGCAAACGGTTGGAAAACCGCCTAAATAGCCTCACTAACCAAGGAAAAGGGAGGTCTACCTTCATTAGGCTGGACCTTGGTCTAAACAATGGAGGCTCTTACTAGCAAACGGTTGGAAAACCGCCTGAATAGCCTCACTAATCAAGGAAAAGGGAGGTCTGCCTTCATTAGGCCGGACCTTGGTCTAAACAACCACCTGTACTGGTTGTTGAGCTGACCACTAACGGATCGAATCTGGAGCAAGGACGGCTGCACCAGTGGTGTGCCCCTCAGCCCTGCTTCCCATCTCACGGAGTAGTGGCAAGTCAGACAACTCGGTCGTCTCCTCTTCCCTTTTTTTTTGTACTATTTGCTGAACCAACTTCGTTCTCTTCGGTCGACTCCCTTATCTCGTCGGTCGACTCCCTTATCTCGACCTCTTTGATCCGACCGGCCATTCTTTGCCCTCCGACTTCATTCCAGTCGGGCGACCCTCATCCAGGGGCTTCTTCTTTACTATCGGTCAACTGCTCTCAGGTTTCTTCTTCTCTCCTGTTGGATGGCGGAGTTTTTCGGTCGAAAGCCTGAAGGCCTTCATCATGGCCTCTTCATTTGTGGATATCTTGCCACTCGACATCACTCTTTTCTTTCAAGAACCGACTTAAGGCTGAAAATTCAAAAATGATGATGAAAAGATGTTGATCGCATCCTATTTATAGGGAATGAGGGCACGGAAATCCAGAATATTCACTTATTATAAGTATTTATTAAACAATAAATGAGCTAATTTTTGTATTTAATTCTTTTATTCTTATCGCAGTTGTTGCTTTCATGAAATAAGAGAATCGAGAAACTAAATATGAACATAAAAAATATGACCGCATGAATCTTGAGGAATTTCAATAGATCTTGCTTAATATACACTAGAGTGCTGCATCGAGATAATCAAAAGGCGGAAACGTCAAGTGTTATTTTCTTCGGTCAAAATTATGGGCCGATCGAACGGAGGCTCAGCCGAACGAGAGAATATGTGTGACCTAAACTGATGGACAATCATTTGTAACTAGCTCTCACAACTGATTTGAGATCCTTCACTAAGATGACCAAAGGGCACTCATTGAATATTTTTCTAATCATCTAAAAAGGCCGCTTGTCCAATGGAGAGCTGCTCTTCAGATTATGGTGATACACCCTCTGCCAGACAAACTAAGTTCATCTAATGACAAACTGGAACTACTAAGGATTCTGTAGAAAGGTCGACCGAAAACCTTCTATTCGACCGAAGACTTCTTGGCCGACCGAACGGTTATCAGACGACCAAATGACAACACTAGTAGGCCATTAAATACTCCTCTTCAAGCAGTTATGAATACCAAATGGTGCCAACATTAGTTATAGATATTAAAGGGTCTCGAAGTCTATTTCAAATATGAAAAGTTTTAATAATGACGTGGAACGTCCCAATTAAAACAAAGACAAATACGTAACTTTATTAGATACTCCTATGATCTATAAGTAAGGGGGTCATTTCTTCAAGAAAATACTACTGAAATTTTCCTCTCAGAACTTTTGTTACTATACACTTCATTTATCTGTCTCTCTCTCTCTCCGTTCCTCTCATATATCCAACACTATACTTTGGGTGTGATCCATAGGATATTTTTGGATTCAACACTAGCTAAATTATTTCTCTAGTCTTTCTTTATACTTCTGTCAAATTTTCTTTTTCAAATTGTAGTTTTTGACACGGTACTACTTGTTTATGAATGGTTTCTCTATCATCCAAAACCGAGTACTGCTATATTGACAGTCAATTTCAAAATCAAACTTGATGTGCGCTCATTACTGTTGCTACTTCTAATTCTATAAAACTTTAATATGATGGTTCGTATTTATCTTTAATCTGGATAAAATCTTTCTATTTATGCTTTCTGAAGACTTGATGCAAAAGAAATTGCGGCTGCCTTCATGTATCATAGAACTTACGAGTTTTTAATATGCAATGATTGTACTCATCAACATGTTTGCATATCTCGTGTTTCATATTTCTATGGTGTAATAACAGTCAGAAGTTGGTCAAATAGGGCTCTTTCTTTAATTGTTACTTTTACATGTCACTTGAAAACAACTAGAATTACTGCATAGAAGTTTTTTTTTATGATGCTATTTTTGACCTGACCATAGCTATGTAGCAATGCTTTCTGAAAAAGATTACAGCCTATAATACCTAGCACTTTCATATGCAATGCTTTGTATACAGAAATGCTAGATAAATACTTCTAACATCAAACATTAGATTTGAGTAGAGCGCCTATATGAAATAAATTGAAAGCTATTGTGTTCTCTCTTACCATATAACCCTTGTAAGCTGCTTGAATCTTTGTTGCAGAAATGTGATCATAATTTGATGTGATGGATTTACTGTTGTGTCTGATTGCCTGTTTTCTTGGAATGATAGATTTTACCTTATATGGAGCAACTGTTGTCTTCACGTACGAAGAATCTACCTTAGCTGAAACTACATTTTTTGATGTATTAGCACTGTTATTCTGTCTTGTTATGGGAGATTTAAACTGCTGAACGAACCGTTTTATAGGACACTTGTTGTGCCTTGTATTGCTGCTCTTTCTCAATATCACCCAATATTTTTTCAATGGTGCTTGGCTCTCTGTAAAGAGGGATGAAGGAATTTAGCTCCCCATGTCTTCTTCTTTCTGGTCCCTGCTTCTTCTCCGTCACATAGTTCTCTGGATCCTGCATTCAAATTTAGACTTTTCAGTACAAACTTCTAAGTCTTGCAAAGCACTACGTTCTATTTTTAGGTTAGGTTTTGATCCTTTTATTAAATATCTTCTGTTCGCTGTTCAATTTGTGATGCATGCCAACAAAATAGTAATGCATAGTAGTGCTCGTCAATAAGCTAGTTGTCTGCGCGATTTGAAAAAAATCTTTTCAGTTTATTGGAGTAGTGCTCGTCAATAAGCTAGTTGTCTGCGCGATCTTTTCAGTTTATTGAAAATATCTTTTATCCAATTATCTGAAAAGATTTGAAGCTCTTAGAAGAAAACCCGCATAATACAATGCTTACAATATAATTAACTGCAAATGCTTACAGTGGCAAACTTCTCTTTGGATTTTGGGGTGAAGGCCCTTTTCAATGCAGAGATCCAACCTCCTTTCTTCCCCATACTTTTCGCATCACTAGCTTACGCTAAATGATCCTGCTTTGTCAAGGTAAGCAATTTGTTAAAAAGTGCATTATGAGTATCATCACTCCTCTCCACTTACAACTACGTCAAATGTTTAGGTATTTATACCTAATTTTATACTCAATTTTTTCATGCTCAAGCATCCCCTGGTTATGTGTCACTGGCAAAAGATTTAGGAGGATTTACATACATACTCTTCAATTCCTATGTATTTACATATCTAACACCTAAAAACGCCTAAACTTCAATTTTTACATACATGCCATCTTACTTATGCATGATAAGGTGTATTTCACTTTTAAGTTAAAAAAGATGGTATTTCTTATGAGCAATGAAAGATTTGGGTGTTATAAATGTTAAAAGTAAAGTTCAGTTTTAGATATGTAAATACAAAGGAATTGGGTGGTATGCATGTAAATGCTATAAAGATTTAAGCCTTATAAGTCAACTGCTTACTGTGAAGACCATCAATTTGGAATAGAACATTAATGAATAAATACTTGAACAGATACCTTCCTATCGCAGAAGGAGACATGTGGCTAAATTAGCTATGGTCTTAATCTCTAGGGTAAGTTAGGGATGCTTATGGTTGGAATATATTTCCCTCTTTCTTGTAAAAAAGCAGACTAATGCTAATTTGTTCGAAAAATTTTCTATGGATAGAGGTATATTTAAATTACAAAACCTTGTCATGACAAAACTTAAATATAATTAAGGAGAGAAGATAAATGTCGATTGGAGGGATTTCGACTTCCGACACTCGTCAGTGGCATGACTAGGGTTTAGGTTTGAGAGGTGAAAGATGGTGTATGGTACTGATTTAGGCTGCAGAAAAATAATTTGTAGTTGTTGATTTTGAAAATGAGCAAGGCAGATTTAGGGTTAGTTCAAGATTTTGCTATGATTTAGGTTTGGGAGGTGAAGGAGGGTGTATGGGGCTGATTTAGGGCAGAAAAAAATAATTAGGGTTGCTGATTTTGAAAATTAGATAGACGGATTTATGATTAGGTTAAGAGTTGGTTATGGTTTGGTGGGTATAGGTTTGGGAGGTGAAAGAGGGTGTATGAAGTTGATTTAAGGTGCATAAAAGATACTTTGGATTGCTGATTTTGAAAATCAGCAAGGGAGAATTAGGATTAGGTCAAGATTTGGCTATAGTTTGGTGGGTTTAGATTTGGGAGGATTTTGGTATCCCTAGGATGGAACTAAGGTTAGTCTAACTCTGATATCAAATGATACCGGAGCAGGGGGGCTGGAGAACGAGCAAGAACAACCCAGAAAGCAATCCGAGACAGAAAAAATAATCAAAATAAAGACGAGATGCACTAATTAAATAAAAGATATAAGATACAAGAGTTTTTTGTTTCGACAAACGATCGTGATACAAAAATCACTACTCGAGGGATTGACGAAGGAAGGAGGCCCGGGATGTTACCACCAACAACGAGAGGATATAGTTGCCACCACCCAACATTATTGAAACAAACTCGTATCTATCCGGGAGCCACAAAGGGAGCACAAGCCATCTCAAAACTCAATTGAACAAAAAGACTAATACAATAATCAACTTCATATTTTTAATCAAAAAAGTATCTATTCCTAATAAAATCAAACTGGCGAAAATACCCTTGATGCGATTTGGAGTGGGCGACAACCGTAGCCCTAGTGAGAGGGCCCACCGGCACACCGTCACTTTTACTGAACCGGTTCGGGTCCCCTCCCCACTCTGTGTGAGAGAGTCTAGTCATTTTGGGAACAAAGCATCTTCTTGGTATGGTACACACTATGTAATAATACAAAATTCAAAATGAAAAAAAAACTTTGTTCTCATTTCCATAATGATTACCTTCCTTCGCTGGTTTTCACTGTTCAAAAAAGATTGTCATGTGAATGGATTCTTGAAGTTTGACCTTCATTGGTTTTCATTGTCTTGGAAAAGTTTAGAGAAGATTGCCAAATGAGAGTGATTTTTTAAAATACAAAATAATGAAATGCTAGAAATATGCTCAAATATTTTTATGCTTTATCCATGTATAAAGTATATTGCAAGATCAACGTAGAAAAGAAGATAGAGGGCCTGCACCAGGCTAAATTCTTCTAAAAAAAACAAAAAAAATTAGAATTTTCATTTTTCACATTCTAATCTCTAGCAAACACATTTAAAGATCTACAGCTTTAATTTCAAAGAGATAACAAAATAAAGGGAAAAAAAGGGGAACCTTTAAAGATGGCAATAAGGGGGGAAGTCTAGATTGAAGTCCTTATGTCATCCTCATGATTTCTTCTCCGGCGACCTCCTGAGTTTGTACCGCTTGCTTTTTTATTCTCCTTAGAGAAGCTTGATTTTTGGTTCTTCCTTTGAGGAGCAGTTCCCTTTCAATTTATTTCCTTTTCAACTTTTTTCCTTGTTTCTTCTTTGTGAATTTACAGGACCCCCTTGTACTTCTCTTTCGGATTCATGATGGGAAGGGTGACCACTTCTCACTTCAGGGCTCCTCCCAACCAACTTTACTTGAATATAAAGGCAGGCCCTTGAGAAAGCCCATGCTTGCCTTCATGTTAATCGGAATACATAACATCAAGTACTGTATAGAGTTGATCCAAGCCTTAGGCTGGAAACCGTGTAGCTTACTTTTCTCAGGCTATCAAAAGTTAAACTAAATAAAAATATATTTAACAAAAAAGAAATTAAAAAATACGCATAGTGCTTATCAGAAAGCTTCACTTGAACATAGAATATGTTCTGTAAACTTGCCTGCCCAATACTGTGCTGTCCGGCTCCATTGGAGAACTACTCATAGAACATCAAAAGCCCAAAATCAATTGGCTATAAATATAAAAAAAAAATATTTTTTTTATTTTTGTTATCTTCACATTTATACCTCATAAAAGCAGATATCGTTTGCATATGTCCTTTTATGTTTTCACTTCATGTTAATCATCTTAAAGCCTCTAATAATTTTGTTTCTTTTTTACATTCTTAAAGCATTTGACTATAACCTGTGTGAGCAAGATGAAGCTACAAACAATCATAGAAATGTCCTTTCAAATTTTATCTATCCTTTGAAGATTTTTTTTATTTTTTTCCTTTTCATTTTGTTCTATTTTATCATGTTGACAACTCAATAATCAACCCACAGGCAAAGCATGTGAAAGAAACAATACTCCTCGTCTATGTGCACGGAATTTTCTTTCTGGAAACTAGATTATTTTCAAACACAACACTTTGGAGTGCTTATTCAATGAAGTATAGACCTCTATACATGATCATGTAGATTCAGTCTTTAAGCTATCACTTTAATAAAAGCTAATAATAATTGAAATGGCAGCTGTCTAATATTGAAATGTTTGATATTTACTTGGAAGCTACTCAACATAAGAAGCGTAAAGAACATAGTTTGGTGGTCCACTTATCTAAATTAATCTGTGCTTTGATGGTTGTTAGTAACTAACTACTCTAGTGGGCCATCAATTCTCCTTTGTCCAACTCTGCAACTATTATGCAATTATCCTCATCTGCATATTTTTTTTACTATTATCCTGAATTGCTGCTCTCCTAAAACTATGATTGCTGAAAATGAATGTCCGTCGAAGTTCTGCTCCTGGAAGTATTATTTAATACCCTCCACTTGTTTTTTAGTTCTTTTTGTCACAAGATCTACGAGTTTGAAATTTAATTGGATTTTGGCTGTTTTGTAACTGTGTTGAGAAAAGCTTTTTTTTTTTCTTTTTTTTTTTACCGTTTAGAACTCGTTGATTTAGGTTTGTATGACGTAGGGGTTGCTAATAAGTGAGATGACATCTCGCTGATTATTTTAAGTTAGAAAACGTATTTTGAGATGTTGAAATTTATTCGATCAATTATTTGGTTGGATGTGGCTGAAATTGATATGGATTTTAAAATTTTGCAAATACCCCCCTAGCAGATATGAAATATATTAATTTTTATTTCACATGATAACAAAGAAATTTGAGTCTTTTTCATGTCGTATTATATTCTTATTATGGTGCGTTAGATGCAAGCTATTTGCTCAAGTAATCATCATTTCCAGAATATTCTTGTTATTATGGAAGAAATATTCCCTCAGTACTGCGCATCTTAAGCTTCGGGCGTAACCAATTAGATGTCGCCAGGTGTAAACTCCGGTCCCACCTATTAAAGAAATAAATTAAAATAAATATTTTTTTACATCGTTTCCCTGGCTCGAGAGAAAACCCGACCCGTCTGCCTTTTCATTTTCTTCGAACTACATCATTTATCTACGCACTATTATGAGTTTATGGCTTAGTCTTCCTCGGCGAAAACCTCCGGCGCAACACATCCTCTGGCGAAACCCTCCTGCGAAGCACATCCTCCGGCGCAAGCGAATGTCAACATTGCGTCCAATCATTCATTAAAATCACGGTATGCACCTAAACTAGAGTAATGAAATATGAGTAACACATCAGTAACACAATAATAACACAATAATATTACATCAATAGAATAACACATTAGTGATATACCAGTAATACATCAAAAATACAACAATAAGTAATATACCAGTAATACATCAAAAATATAACAATAACAAAATACAACAATAACACATCAATACCACACAAGTAACACATCATGGATTTAAATCATTAGCAAAGAAAAAACCCTACTCAATAACTGCATAAAACCAAATTCATTGGACTCACAGATATCTCCATGACATAGGTTTGATGTGTTATTCTTGTATTATTCGTGTATTATTCATGTATTATTCTACTGTGTTTTAACTGTGTTACTGGTGTGTTACTCATGCGTTATTTTCGTGTTATTCATGTATTATTGATGTGATATGCTTCTGTTTAGGGTGATTGTTAATTGATGACATAGGTTTGATGTGTTATTCTTGTATTATTCGTGTATTATTCATGTATTATCTACTATGTTTTAACTGTATTACTGGTGTGTTACTCATGCGTTATTTCCGTGTTATTCATGTATTATTGATGTGATATGCTTCTGTTTAGGGTGATTGTTAATTGATGGCATATGTTTGATGTGTTATTCTTGTATTATTCGTGTATTATTCATGTATTATATGTGTTATTTCATGTATTATCGTATATTATTCATGTATTATTCTACTGTGTTTTAACTGTGTTATTGGTGTGTTACTCATGCGTTATTTCCGTGTTATTCATGTATTATTGATGTGATATGCTTCTATTTAGGATGCTTGTTAATTGATGACATAGATTTGATGTGTTATTCTTGTATTATTCTTCTATTATTCGTGTATTATTCATGTATTATTTTCCTATGTTTTACCTGTGTTACCGGTGTTACTCATGCATTATTTCTGTGTTATTCACGTATTATTGATGTGTTTAGGGTGATTATTAATTAATGTCATATGTTTGATGTGTTATTCTTGTATTATTCGTGTATTATTCATATATTACTTTACTCTGTTTTAATTGTGTTACTGGTGTGTTACTCATGTGTTATTGCCGTGTTATTCATGTATTATTGATGTGTTTAGGCTGATTATTAATTAAGTGTGCTTCATGTGCTACTCCTGTGTTACGGGTGCGTAATTAGTTATGCTTTTGTATTATCCATGCTCTTGTGTAGGGTTATTACTGTGTTATGTCGTTGTGTTACTCATGTATTATTCTCGTCTTGTGATTGTTATTCTAATAATGTGTCATTATTTATTTAATTTACAGGATCATGAGTGCAAGGACTTTCAACTGTAGATGTTGTCCATCTGCAGTGAGAGGTGCCTTGGATGCAATTCGAGATCTGCTTTCAGAGGAGACCATTAATAATTTAAAGGAAATTAGGGTGTTCAATTTCCTTGACATGCTCCCATATCCCCAGGACAATGCCATGACTTTACATATTTTGAGATGTTGGGATAATGAGAGGTGTGTCTTCAAAATGGGTGGAAAGAAGGTTAAGTTACATGCTGACCACGTGGCTCTGTTGATAGGGATGCCGAACATAGGAGAGCCTGTTTCATGAAAAAAAGGACCCCTATCAAATGTGGATGCCAGACAAATAAAGAACCAGCTGACGAACTTCTTTGCAGAAGGAGCCTCCATCCGACCTTTGAGCAGTTATATTTGAAATTCATACTAACTAATTTATTTTTTTCTTCAAGCAATTTTCATGTGCCTGCAGAGCTATCTTCTTTTGCTGTAAATATACAAGTTTTTTCGTCCTTTAATTGGTGAGCTGCCATATGTGATATGTTCATCGATCAAGTGAGAATCGCCTCCATGAAATTAAGGCACAATAAGTTGATTGACTATATTCAAGGAGGATTTGTATTTCTTTTAACGTTTCTTTTAACGGTAAGTATTTGTTATTTACATTGAAACATCACTCTTATGAATTTTTTTTTGTTGTATTAACTTTTGCATACATGTTGGTGTAAAACATCCTCAATTTTGGTTTTACGAGCACACCTCTCTTTTAACTCCTGCTGCACCTGACGCTAGACCTCGCATTCTGAGGTGGCCAACCAATCATGGGTTGAGTGCTGAGAAAATTCATGAAGCCTTTAAGAGACTTGATCATGTAAATCATTTAATTTTGATTACAGTTTATTGACACATATGTTTAATAAATTTTTAAGAAAACGAACGATTTTGACGAATACATTTTTATTGTAGGTTAATGACGAATTCTTAGATTTGAGGGACGATGAAGTACAACTACTCGAAAATCCAGAGCAGGGACCACCGATTCCTGCAAGGCAAATTCCACATCACAAAACTACTTCAGGACCATCTTCACCCAAATCGTATGCTAAGGGTAGAATTGTTTCGAGTGATATAACCCCAGTACCTGGATATACGACGAAGAGTGCTGATTTTGGGATACTATATGAGATGCTAAAATCTCAGGAACAAATAAGCTTAAATATACAAGAAATTGTGACTGGAATGAGCACATAGATGAATACTGTGGTAGAAGCATTGTCCACCCTGACAGGTTTGGTGCATAGATTAGTTGAAACCAAGGCTGATAAGTTCGTTGAGAAAACAATATCTGATATAAGTAAGAAGACCAACATCAGTGGTCATCAACAAAAGAGGAAAGTGGACCCCACTGTATCTCAATACCAGTTTCCCTGATATAAGTAAGAAGACGTAGAAAAATTGATGATGTGGATATTGTGCTCCTGTAAATATAGATGTACCTGAAGAAACAATAAGAAATATAGATGTTCCCGTACAGGCCGAAGACGCCATAGAACCAATAAGAGAAGCACAAGATGCAGATTTGGGTGATGAGACAATCCATGAAGACCCTGAAGAAGTATAACGAGCAATAAAGGGTGTTCTTGAACCTCTGACCCAATCAGTAAGTACGTCATTCTAATTTGTACTTAATGATATACATTCCTACTTTATTTTTTATAATAATATTTTTTTTAGACGCGTCTTCTGACTTCTGGTGTAAATACTAATTCAAAAAAAAGGTGATTCCCAAAAGGTCCAAGTTGCAGATGAAGAAAGCTTAGATCCACCCGGGTATCAGCAAATTTCGAGTCAAAGCCACAGTTCTAATGCAGACAAGTATGCTATAGTTGTAAGAAAATAAATATAGCTAAGTGCTTTGAAGTATATCTTATATACTCTTATTTTGTGTTATTCATGGATTGTTTTATTTTGCAGCTACGTCCTCCGGCTTCAACTATTTTGTATCCTGGTAGGTCATTGATACCAATTAAAATGCAGGAAGAAATAGACCAGTGCCTATCCAAATACACCAGAAGGTAAGTAAATGTCCAACACTCTTTTAATGTTATGCAGTTCTGTTGTATTTAATTAAAAGGAACTCTCTTTCTTGTCAATGCAGCGACGTTATCATTAACGGAGACCATATTTTGATTCACCGATCGACACTCGAAGATATATTATTAAATAAGTGGCTTGCAGATGAACATGTTGATATATTTGCTGTCATGTTGCGCGAAAGAACTTTAAGGAGACCAGAGTTGTATCGGCCTTACCTGTATGTTTCACTAATGTATGGGGTATGTTCAACAACTTATATTTATTCATACAAGTTTAAGTCATATATTCCCTGCACATTTAAACTAATATATTTATGTAGATGCATAAGACCTATGGTAGCAAACCATACGTGAAACATATCACCAACGAGGTCGTACAAGAAGTAAAAGCCATTTTCTTTCCAATCATTCATAATCAACATTGAATCTTGTTGGTTCTAGATCTCAGGTTGAGAAAATGACGAATATACGACTCACTACCCAACCAGATACATAAGGCTGGCACTACAAAAGTTGTAAGTATATTCAACTAAATTAAAAGTAACATAATTGCATTCGAAGAGTAACACAATAACGCTTCAACCATGCAGGTGAATATGTTTACTAGAGATGTCGTTGATTTATTTACAGCCAAAATCAATAAATGGTCCCTATCGATTACAAAGTACGTACGATGTCAAAGTATGTAGCAACACAAAGGAATAGTTTTGATTGCGGCATGTTCGTCTGCAATTACATGGAAACTTTAGTGCAGGTCGAAGAAGTCGATGGGAGTGCACATATGAACTGACAGGATCATATGGGGATCATATGGAGCGATTATGGAGCGATTTAGAGCAGAATTTGTTTGTGACATGTGCTTATTTTTGAGGGCTTCTGAGTAAATTTCTATATTTTTACTTTTCATATTTTGTATAGGTTACTGTATATGTAAGATCTTCATGGTTACTGTATATCGAATATTTGTATAGTTTACTGGAAAAAATGTTTATATCTTGCTGAATGTTGGTATTTTTAGGTTACTGTATATCTCGAATTTTTGTAGAGGTTACTGTTTATATCTTGGCAAAATGTTTATAGGTTACTGTCAGTATTTCTTGTATAACACTTGAGTAACATGTTGGTCAACTGCCTTAGTAACACGTCATTTACATGCCGTTTACACGCTGAATAACACAAGAGTAACACGTAGATAACACGAGAGTAACACATATGCTACACCCTGAGTAACACGAGAATAACATGTAAATAACACGGGAGTAACACATAGATAATATGAGAGTAACACGAGAGTAACGCATATGTTACATCCTGAGTAACACGAGAGTAACATGTAAATAACGTGAGAGTAACATGTAGATAACACATAAGTAACAAGAGAGTAACGCATATGTTACACCCTGAGTAACACGAGAGTAACATGTGAATAACACGGGAGTAACACGTAGATAACACCCTGAGTCAATAAATATACTAATATTATCTATCCTATTTAATTTATCATATAAAATTTATCTGAAAAAGTTTAAAAAATTATCGCAAAAATTTGATAGTATGAATAACACGAGGAAATTTGGAATAACACCGATTAATCGGCAGTAACACGGTGTAGTAATACGGTAGAATACGCGTGGTAACGCAGAGTAACACCGATTAATCGGCCGGTAACACAGGGAATATTTGCTGCGAGACAGCGCATTAAGAGGGCAGTAATGCAAGTTATTGTCGTGTTATCCTCATGTTATTCTCGTGTTATTGATGTGTTTCTCTTATGTTATTCCTCATGTTATTCCAATGCTATTCCCGTGTTATTGTCGTATTATCCTCGTGTTATTCACGTGTTATTCACATGTTATTCACGTGTTATTCTCGTGTTATTCTATGTTATTCACATGTTATTCTCGTGTTATTCTTCGTGTTATTCCCGTATTATTGAGGTGTTATTCTCATGTTATTCCTCGTGTTATTTACTGTGTTATTCACACGTTAATCCCGTGTTATTCTCGTGTTATCCTCGCTTCTTCCCGTGTTATTGACGTGTTTTTCTTATGTTATTCATCATGTTATCCCAATGTTATTCCTGAGTTATTCTCGTATTATCTTCGTGTTATTCCCGTGTTATTCACATGTTGTTCTTCGTGTTATTCCAGTTTTATTCCCGTGTTATTCAGCTTGTTACTGATCGTGTTATTCAACGTGTTACCCGCATGTTATCTACGTGTTGCTCACGTGTTACTCAGGGTGTTTTTGACGTGTTGCTTAGGGTGTTACAGTTGATATCTACGTTTGAACAAGATTAAGACAAAAATATTTGAAGAAAAACATGTTATAAACCACCAATTACTTCTTTCATAAAAAGGTTTACAGATGGTACAGTATTACAACTTTTACAATATCGATCAATCTAAATTCTCACTTATGGAATCCATCAAAAGTCCAGTGTACGTTTCACTTAGTTGCGGTGCGTACTATTCCTGCAGTAGGGGAGTAAGACAAAGATTAATTTGAGTAAATTATTTTATATAAAAGGTAGTGATATGATACTGAAATTTATCAACATACCTGGGTAAGACAATCTGTCAAACTTTGCTCGAATGCGTCCACAACTCGACGACTACTTGCTGCTTCTTGTTCCATTCCTGGATGCAATGAGTCAAATTAGAAGTATGCATTATACATGGAATGAAATGAGGAAATACTAAATTAAAAAAATTTATACTTTTGGTTTCTTATTTTTCTCTCAATGTCCTTTCAGCCTAGATGTAGATACTCCTTTCGGTCTTTTTTAGCAAGTCGTTCACATTGCATTCTATATTTGTGATTTTCTTCTTTTTTTTGTTTTTTGTAATTCGATCGTTCTCCCTGCTATAGCATCCTCAATATCTCCTGATAACTTTTTAAACGTCTCCCACAAACACTCCTCAACTAACTCATTTCCTTGTGCTCTATTAAGTTGATGTGCAAATTTCTGAGAGCATGAACTGAATATAAAGGAACTTGAAGAAACATTATTACAGACAGAGTCTTTTAGCTCTCTGCACCCAAATCTGTTATACATGTTCCTTTTAGAATTGATGGACCACCGCAATAAGAAATATTTCACCGGAATAATCTTTATTTTTGCGCGACTTAGAACAAATAGTGCATGGGAGCACAACAGCCCCATCATCTCAAACTTTTTGCAACTACATGTAACCTCACAAGTAACCTTGTCAATTAACACATTCCAGGGCTGCTTGTCCCCTCATCATCCAATCTTGATACGTAAAATTTAGCCTCACTCTCCACTGATACTTCAGATGTTAGCCCACATAAGCCATTCAATTGCTCTTGTTCAAACATTAAATAAAGCTTTCTTGAATAGAATGAGGCAGCTTATCTCAGCATGAGATTGATTTTAACCATGGGTGCTCCGACGGACGAACCACGTGCTCTGACGGACGGACCACATTTGAAATCTTCATCTTTCTCACTCTGATGCCACAATTTCATTATGTTTTCAAGACCGATAAAGCAATCTGTGAGAGAGCTAGTTGGCTTTGAAACACCATGACAAACATTATTGGTCGACTCACTTCTCTGTGTTGATAAGATTCTCATACCGAATATATTTTTATTAAATATTGTTGACCATTTATTCCTTATAAGATACATTTCATCTAACCAAACATTGCTTTGTAGTTCTCCCAACTCAATCATTAAGGACCATGTTTCTTCGAACTCTCTTCGAACTCCTTATTAAGGACCATGTTTCTTCGAACTCCTTCTCAGTGCATTTATAAGAAAAATATTTATAAAAAAAATCACAGACACTCTTAGTACGCACTCCACAGTGTACTTTGGAAGGCAGTTTCTTGTAGATATGCGATTGACATAATCTATGACGTGTTTGTGGGAGGCATTCTGCAATGACTTTTGCTATTGCTTGATCCTGATCGGTAAAGATTGTTATGGGATGTTTGTCTCCCATTATTCGAATGAATGATTTGAATAACCACATGAATGATTCAATAATCTCATCAGACAGAAATTCAACTCCAAACAGTACGTTCTGCAAAGTTATATTTATTTAACCCCCACAAATGGAGCACAATATAAGTTATATTTATTTAATCTGTAGCTTGTATAAAAAATTATGACATCCCCGAAACAGTCATAATCCAGCCTGCACAATCTATCACTCCAAAATATGCTTGTTAACCTACCAGACTATTCTGTTTGGAAATCCCAAGCAAACATGCTGTCCCCAGCTTGCCTTTCCATGAACAATTGTATTAAAGCAATGACATCTCCCTGTTCAATTCTTTGTCTTCTTTCTCTTTAAATGAAATTAAATGCATCTCTCTTGGTGCATTCCAAATTCTCCACACCACCAACCTCCGTGACAATGAAATTATATGCATGTGTTGCTTTGATCCCTGAACTTGTCATGGATCTCAACACATCTGCATTGAGCTAACTTATCCTTCTGTTGGAACGAAGAAGATGCTTATCACCACTTTCGGCCAAAGGATGATTATGATTTTCAATGAATTTTGCCACTGTCCAATTGCCTTCAAAACCAACATGAAATCGTACCATGGCCTTACTGTCATTCCTCGTGTCTGCTTTTCTGAACTTAACTGTGTTGTTAGGCTCTTTCTTATAGCCAGCTTTTCCACAAATATAATCTTTAACCTTGAGTTTCTTGGAGTTCGGCCAGTAGGTAGTATGGTCCTTCCGAACAGTGAATCCCACGTGATGTGCATAGGCACGATAGCTTTCATATGCTTCTTCCTCATTATGGATAATGCTGCTTAGAAACTTCTCTGCAATTGGATCATTGCAAACGTGTGTTGCCTCAGAGGACTACATAAAGCAATGGTAACATCAGCATAACACAATAATAGCACAATATGCGTAATAAATTAAAGGCAGAGTAATACCAGAGTAACACCAGAATAACACAAGAGTAACACCAAAAAACTAGAAGCAAAAAAAAAAAAACCATAATAACAATGCCGCAATGAACAACACCCAAAAATCAAATGCAATAAACAACATACAAGGTACACCAAAAAAACCAGAGCCTAAAAAAAAAAAAAAGAAAAAAAAAAAAAAAAAAAAAAACCATAATAATACCAAACCACACTGTAGAACAACACCGAATAACACTACATCAACACCTACGTTTACATGGAGATCAAACTAAACCCTAAACCACCTAAACTGTATTAAATCAAAGGCAAGAAACAAGAGTAATACCAGAGTAACACCAGAATAACACAACAGTAACACCAAGACTCAATTGATATTGATCTTCAAAGTTCAGTCAGGCTGAATGATGATCAACGTTCATGGAGACTTCCGGCATCTCAACGTTCATGGAGAAATCGACTTCCGGCATCTCAACGTCCATGGAGAATTCCAACAATACCTAACTATGGCGGAGCTGTGAACGGAGCTGGTGAAAAAATTAGCGAAATATTTCTTCACCCTGCAAATAGAACAACAAGTTGGCGCAAAATAATTTTATCATGGCGGGAATTTTTTCAAAATTTGGGTTTAGGGTCGGGTCGGGTTGTGAATACTGATGGAATAGGTGGGGCCGGAGTTTACACCTGACGGCAATATATTGGATACACACCTAGCTTAAGGTGCGTAGTACTGATGAAATAATTCTTCGTTATTATGATGTACGTTATTATGCTAATCCACTTCCGTGTGTATTACTCCTTGGTTCGGAAATACTGAGTCATAACGATTGAAAAAAAGAAGTCATATTCCTAATAACGAGTAGGACTTTAAATTCCCTCACTCTCAAAAATTTTAATTGAAATATTAACCCTTAAAAATTAAGCTATTGTTAGTTTTTTTTTTAAAAAGGTAATATGGGCGATTCGAATCCACAATTTTATGCTGGGAAATTACATTTTTCAACTACTTCAAATACTGTATCAGGGACAAGTGCAAAAAAAACTATTTTTAGTTAGTCAAGTAATTTAATGAAAAACTGTGCGTGTTTTTGCTACTCCACTTAGAAAGATTTATCTTTGTTTTATGCGGTGGCTGCACGCTATTCTAATGTTGTTTAAACTCATAAATGTAGTGTTAATAAATAAAAAATGCTCAACTCGGACTTCATGGCACCATGAAAATATCTTCACGAACTTGTTAGATCGGCAGAATTTGCCTGTGAAATGGTGATGCTCTTGGGTATATTAGTATAATTTGAACTCGGCCCATATAATTATCTGGGTAAAAGCGTTAACTTAAATTTGTTCCGAGCAAACCTGATTCTGGCCCAACTTGGTATAATATCAACCCAACCCAAAAATGGGTAAAATTATCCACTTTGGACTACTAATTCAATAAAAATAAGTAAATATTTTATTTTTACATGAATTGCATTAAAAAATGTCAAATAATTTAATAATTATTTTTTTAATTTGACTTCATATTTCTAAGTTAAATTAGCTAATGTGAACTTTATCTAATTGTTACATGTGTTGATCCAAATTTAAATATCATGTTGAGCAAAAAATTGACACTCCTACTCCTTAGAGCTTTTTATATGTTTTGATGAATACCAAATTTATAGGCATTACGATTAAGAATCTTGGAAAAAAAAGCTTACTTTCATATGATAGATAAATATGCTCGACTTCATGCACCACATAAGTATGACCACTTCGTCGCTCCATAATGAGTTGTATGTTATGATTCTTAAGGATGGTACTTGACTGAATATTTAAGGAATGCTTATAACTAGTACTTATGGATGCTTTTTATCATATTCTTCAATCGAATTTCAAGCAAAAACTTGTGCATCTTAGCATGCTTAGCTAAAATAAAAATCATGAACTAAAGCACTACAAATTAAATAAAATTGTACTTGTGGAGATTATGTGGGGCTCCTTAAAGATGATCAAGACTTATCTTCAAGGGTTATGCTGCCATATAAACACAAGTAACACTTAAGCATTGTGATGTTAATATATCACAAGATTAACAACTCACGCTGTAGACCCATAAGATGATAGCATATTCAGAAAACGAACTTGCCCATATTTTGCTAGAAAAGGAAGATCAATACTTGTTACACATTTTTTTAAATGAGGATCCTATAGGAGACATTTTAGGAAAGGAGACTATAAATGTAAAGTAAAATAGATGGAAAGGAGATCCAATTCCTCTTTCTCTTAACAAACTAAAGATTTGTCACTAATATTCTCCTCTCCATTACCATGACGCATTTAAGCCTTTTTCTTACTTCCTATTTTATAAATAAGCCATATTTGAATCTCTCCAAACTTCTCTCATTGATTGCTTCGCTATAAATTTTAACATCAACATTTTTTGTTTGGTGCTCTCATCGTGACCAATGGTTAATATGATGATATGAAATGTGTGTGATTATGATGAGATAATATAACCTTTAGTAAATTAGTTTAGGGTATCTTTTAGCTTGAGATTGCTAGAAAAAAATGTTAAACATCACAAGTTGTAACCCAATTTTAGCTACAAGGGTTGTGTATAAAGTTTGACAATGTAGCAGCTAAATTTGGTGTGTATTGGGTGTTAAACTCATGCTTATAGTTATTTTTTGATGATCATAAATACAAGTTATTATGTGCTAATAATGTTATGTAAGGTTAATGCAAGAGTGAGCCAATTGCTTCATGTCAAGCTTAAAATTACAAGTTAAGATTAAAATTTTATGAAAGGTTTGTTTGGGGCAGTTACAATTATTTGAAGAAGCAGTTGTGAAGCTGCTGAATAAAAAACTGATGTTCAAAAGGTTGTGGTGGCTATCACAAAAAAAGTTATTTTCAAAAAAGACAGACATGCTTTCTAGCAGTCACGAAATGTAGCAAGTTTGGTGGGAAAACACAACTTTCGGCTGTGACTTTGAGTACGTAGGGAAAACAAAGTTTTACCAAACATGATAAACTGTGATGTGTCACCACATTGCCATCGCAATAACCAAACATGATAAACTGTGATGCGTCCTCTAATAAACTCTTATTATATAAGTTTGACACTCTTTTTTTTGTATCAAGTGTATTTTCTTTTCTAGCGACATCACTAATCTAAATAAGTTCCTAACTAACATTATCTATTAAGTGGGTTGTCTTAGCAGTAGTTTTCACCATACCTTAAAGTGGATGTTAATATCTACTAGTTTACAATAGGAATAACATGCTTCTTGTTTTATATGAGAATTTTGGGTGATCATATTACTGATGAAGAAGTGTGGTTTCTCCAATTTATCTTATCAAAAGAGAGATCAATGAACTTTTGAGAGGCGATGAGGAATGGACATAATGATTGGGTGTTTGAATTGCTACACATTGGTTTGTAATAAAATCTTCTTCTTACATTATGAAGATTCTTTAATTCTAGATTTTTTTGTAATTTTTATAACTTTTACTAGCTTATTCTTTAAGATATTGATTGCATTCAGTAATTAAGTTAGAAGAATATTAATGGAAATCTAAAATCATCTTTTTAATTTAATTTAAAAAAATACACTTCTTTGGAAGATAAGGAAAAAAAGCCTTTGATATCATTTAGTTTTTTTATCAATCATGTACTAAAGTATCAAATTATAGTTATTAAAACACCATATGCTTGTATTATATAAGAAAAAGAAAAAAAAAAAGACTTGAAGTTTAGTTTATTTATTGTATGTAATTATTATTTTTTAAATATGTATCTCTTTTATTTTGTGTGACATACTAATCATTTTTATATAGATAGTTATTTATTAATTAATTGATTTATAAAATACAAAAAATTATCCCTCTTGGTTTTATTAGAACATTGAAATGGTATCAGAGTGATTATAATGTGTTGGTTTAACTTTTATAGTAGATCCTTATGACTTTTGGAACAATGGTTTGATAGAAGGGTATTTAGTACCAGGCTTTCGCTCATTGATAGCATAATATTATCCTTTGAAATTTAAGAATGTTTATTTGTACAAACAATTTTTTGTTATTCGTGGAACATATTTTAAATTACTTATGCTAACCCTAATAAATTTGTAAGCAGTGAATTTGTATATGTCTCATACAATGGCTAAACACATGATGAACTTAACCTTGCGTAATAAATTTAAAGCATTTGTAATATTTGTTTAATGCATTTGAATCTGATGATTACACATGAGTATTAATGTGCAAAATTAATTAAAAAATTTAGAATAGAGTTAGCATCACATATGATGACATTTAATTTGAAAATAATATACTTGGTGAATCTTATATGCATATATATATATATAAGTACTTGGTGAATCTTATATGCATATATATATATATATATATATATAATTATAAGATTAACCAAGTATATTTTTATTATATACTCCTGGAAAAGTGTTGTCTTAGTGAAAGAGTAAGAAAGTGCGACTATAAAATCACCTAGTTTTATCTGTCGATGGTGGGTTATGATCATCCAATTAGGTGGTTGAATAAAGAAATGTAAGAGGTGAATCATATCCATGGTAAAATAAAGAGTGGAAGCTAACCCTGCACATGTAAGAATGGAGATAGTATTCATAAACTATAGAATAAGAAAAGCAATCATTAAAAAAAAATTCTTGCTTTCTTCTTGAGGGAGCATAAGTTACACCAATATTAAATGGAGACACCAAATTCTCATAGGAGAGCCACCAAGCCCTATTAAAGAAAACAAATAAACGCTTTACATCATTTCATCCAAGCTTATTTTTCTATTACAATGCTATTTCATATTTATAGCAATTATATATTAGTTATATCAATAATATAATTTATTAAATTTCTTTAATGGATAGGTTTTTATCTACTTTAGTTTATCTTAAGGAATGTTTTGTTAGTATAACTTCTTAAATTTATAGCTTCAAGGAAAAGATTGTTGTTTAATTTGTATTTAAAATTAAAATACTTCTTATTTTAAAATTTCCTTAATGGATAAGTATTGTTTAATTTAAATTTTAAGATTTCCTCTAATAAAAATTCATCAGTACGACACTTCTTTAATTTTATCCTTTTTATGCAGAAGAAAAATTGTTTAATTTGAAATTAAATCATTTATGAATTTTTCTTCTTGATTAAAATAATACCTACTTTCATTTTAATTTTTTAATTATTTATCTCTTCATGAGATGCCACTAACTAGGGAGAGAGTGGGGCCCCTTGGTTTAACTTCTTATGCTTAGGAATGTAATTTCAAAAGATGGGAGGGATCATCTTTTTATGGTGAAAAAAAGAATAAATTTCTTGAAATTTCTCTTGTAAGACATGACCTTGTTCTATATCAAATAGAATAATCAAACTTAAAGGGAATAAATAAGATTCATAGATTTTTGCTTGAATCTTATGATGTACTCATAACAATAATCAAATCCAATGGTTTTCC